CTCTTTCCTTGATTTTATTTTCCTAATGTCCAGTCTAAACTTCCCCTGTTGCAGCTTGAAGCCCTTTCCTCTTGTTCTGTCACTAATTACCTGTAAGAAGAGACCAGCACCAGCCTCTCTACAATGACCTTTCAGGTAGCTGTAGAGACTGATGAGGTCTCCCCTCAGCCTCCTCTTCCCCAAACTAAACATTCCCAGCTCCTTCAAGTGTTCTTCATAAGATTTATTCTCTAGGCCCTTCACCAGCTTTGTTGCCCTGCTCTGTACTTGCTCCAGCACCTCGAGATCTCTCTTGAATTGAGGTGCCCAGAACTGGACACAACACTCCAGATGTGGCCTCACCAGTGCTGAGCACAGGGGCACAATCACCTCTCTGCTGCTGCTGGCCACACTATTTCTAATCCAAGCCAGGATGCCATTGGCTCTCTTGGCCAATCATCACGCCCATCTCCGTGCTCTTTCTCAGTCACTGTCTCAAAGAACAGCCACGACTTTGTAGCTGGGCACCACCACTGTCTAGATGCTGCAAGCACCTTTCTGAGCTTGGTTGGTTCTTCACTGGATCAAAACACAAGGTTCCAACAAGGCCGTTGTTGGTCCAGTTCCTTCTCTTGAAGTCTGGCAAACCCAACTTGTCCGTTGTCATGGTTCAACCCAGCTGGCAACTAAAGCACCAGGGAGCCTGACCTGACTGCTCCCTCCTTGGCAGGATGGTGGGCAGAATCAGAAGGGTAGAAGTGAGGAAATTCATGGGTTGAAATCAAGACAGCCTCACACAAGCACACCAAAAGGAATTCATTCCCTACTTCCCACGGGCAGGCAGGTGTTCAGCCTTCTGCAGAAAAGCAGGGGTCCATCACACGTAATGGCTACTTGAGAAGGCAAAAGCCATCACTCCAAATGTCCTCCCCTCCTTCTTCCTCCCCCAGCTTTATCTGCTGAGCATGATGTCACACTGACTGGAATACCCCCTTGATTAGTTGGGCTGTGCCTCCTCCCAGCACCCTGTGAACCCCCTGCCCACTCGCTGGCAGGATGTCATGAGGAGCAGAAAAGGCCTTGGCTCTGTGTGAGAACTGCTCAGCAGTAACTAACAGATCCCTGTGTTATCAACACGGCTTGTAGCCCAAATCCAAAACATCACCCCATACTAGCTAGTATGGAAAAAAACTAACTCTATCCCAGCCCAAACTAGCACATCCACCATGAAACCTCTCCCAAGCCCTGCATTCTTCTGTGTAGCTCTTGGTTTTGCTCTCTTCAGGGCCTGCCTTGACTATGCCATCTCCAGAAACTCAGTCCACCCCCAGGGAGTCCCTGCCTTATACCCCTCCAACACTTCACTGCCTCAACTGAGGTCACTCCCTTCACTCTCCTGGATGCTGGAGACCTCCCCAGCTGCACCCAGATTTGAAGGCCTTGCTGAGCCATCACCAGGATGCCTACTGGGGTTTGCTAGGACAGAGCCTGCCATCAGCTAAGGCTCCATCCTGCACTTTCCAGAAGGGTGGAACCTGTGCAAACTCCGCCTGAAGCTTGAAGGGGCTGGGTTCTGCATCCTGACTTCAGGGTGAGCCAGCCAGTCCTCTGCAAGGTGTCTGTCCCTGTGTTAGTGCCCAGATGTACAACACAGGGACACACAGCAAGATCCCAGCACAACACTTCCCAGTGCAAGTCATGCATCCGCTCCTTGCCCTGTTTCAAATGAACCCAGGAGATCTTCCCTAGTCCTGTATTCCTAAAGCATTTCAAGTTTCACCTGCTACTTGAAGAAGTTAAGAAAAGGTCGTTCGTAACAACATAGGCCTCAGCTGCAGAGTAATAAGGAGAAAACATTGGGAATATTCCCTGGCCCTGCAGGAACCTCAGAGGCTCAATTCAGGGCTGCAGAGGGGGACCAGGCAGCAAGAAAGACCAACTAAAAATCACAGTGAATGCACAGCAAAACTACAGCAATTAAAGGCTACTCCTGCAAACAGTGCGTTCTTGGGTCTTCGTTCACCATTTCCACACCAAGTATTATCTCACTTTGTAACCATATGGGGAGGCTGTAAGGTTATTTTACATAATAAAATAAAGCTCCAGAATTAAACATCAAGACTCTCCTCAGTCAGAAACTCCCCGAGGATATGAAAGAGGTCACTTGATTCCACAGCAGGCACAACTAGGTCAGCTGAAGGTAAAGACTGATCCAACAGTTTTCCTTACAGTTTCTTTTTTTATTCAGTAAACATCTAGTTACAAGTTTCACAAATTAAAAAAGTGGGGGAGGAAGATGATTGAAGAGGGGTTGGGGGGAGGGCCACAGGCTGATCCAGCTCTTGTTCTGCTCCTCCCCTCTCTAACGCACACATCCTCCTGCTTCTCCACAGCTGCACAAAGGAGCAGGAGGGGAAGAAAAGCCTCTGTCCTGGTAAGGAGACCAACACAGGGTTCTAGCAGAATCCCCTCATATTTCTTTCACAGGGGACTAAACACAAACCTCAGAACCAGCCCAACCCAGCATAGAGAGAGTGGAAAGGATGGAAGAGGCAAGGTGGCAGCTCCTCATGCCCACCACTACTGGCAGAAAGAACAGAACCAAGGGAGAGCAGGAGGGGAATGGGCAATTAATGTGTTCCTTGCACACCAGTGAGATTCCCCAGACCCCACTGCAGCACCCAAATGGGGCAAAAAAGAGCAATGCAGAAGATTAGTTGCTTCGTTTCAATTCTTAAGTGGGAGGGATGTTAATACTAAATTTCAGGAGGGTCCAAGTGGTGCTTTGAAGGGGCTTCAGAGTTTCACTGTCTGTACCTGGGAGGAAGGGAAATGGAGAACATAAAAAGAGTAAGTGGCAACTAGAAAGCAGCACAGAAGACAGATAAAGACATGTTTAAACCTGACATCAGAAAAAAGGGAAAAAAGTCCCTTCTCAAGCATTAGATCACACTGTGGGGAACCCTACTCACAGCACAGGAGAGCGGACACCAGCGCTGACTTGTGTTTCAAACTGGACTGACAGCAAATAGTCTTCAAGCTCTATGCAATGACAGCACACCCTACAGACTGTGACCCTACATCATTCCACGCCATCCCAGCCGCCAGTTCAGGCTGACACTACGCCTCTCTGCTGATGACAAAGCTAACTTAGACAGCTCCCACCTCCCCATTCAGAGCAGCGTTCCCTCAAAACTCACATCTCTCCCTGCTCTCTAGATGAAGCGGGAATCACAGAATCACAGAAACACAGAATCCTAGGGGTTGGAAAGGGACCTCAAAAGACCATCTAGTCCCACCCCCCTGCCAGAGCAGGGCACCCAGAGCACATCACACAGGAACGTGTCCAGGTGGGTTTGAATGTCTCCAGTGAAGGAGAATCCACA